CATTCACCAACTTTAGTTCTCCTCACGTATTTTACAGTATGAGTCAGTGATCAGTCTCTCGATACTGACCTATTATTAAAAATAGTCTATTTGCATGAAATTAGTCACAAGAATTTACTAGTTGATTATTCTTCCTAAGAATACTTTTTTATGTTCTGCAGTGTCAATTCTTTTTTCAAGATAGAGAAAACACGTGATTTAGGTCAAATATAAAATCTCATTGGTGGCGTATGTCATATTGTTTGACTTGGTAATCAACATAACAACGCGTTCGCATCATCCTATCTCTGATACACATAACAGAACAAGAAAAAGTGATTTACACATTTTATTTTTTTTTATATATCTTATCTTACGAATCTGCATTTATATATTACGAAATAGAAAAACGACAGTATTCACATGTTACCTTTGAAATAATATTTAATAAACTATGTTTATTTCAATATTTTTCGCATTCATACTGCTGAATCAAGTATTATGTGATTTATCCTGTTATGATTGTTCTGATGAAGTTTTTAACTATAAAGTTACAACTGAAACAATTCCAACACAATTCAACAACTGCTCGATTGTAACTAAACAGTTGTATTGCTATATTCGCATTGAATGGAAGCAAAATCCGGTAAAAACTATCATTACAGCATCAGGCTATGAGTATTGGAAATTAGGCATAATGGGCCACGATTTACAGGTTATAGCAGCTTTCTCTTCCTATCCAGCTGAAGCAGAATGGACTACCTCTATTATGTATAGGTGTTTAACTGATAAATGTAACAATCCAACCAGATTGAAGCTTTTACTGGAATCGTTAACATTGGTCAATAAATTGGAAGAGCTCGAATATCTTGTCGAGTCAAATGGAACATTTGATGGTCAGTGGTGTCTATTCTTCTCCAACTCGACTGAATATCAAGGTAGTTCGACAGAAGAAATCAATCCATCGACTTGCAAACAGTGTACGACTACCGTGATCATGACATCTCAAAAAAGAGAAACAAATGCGAAGTGTTTTACAACGTTTCTTACATTAAACTCTTTAAAATACGAAGTAGAATTCGATATGAATGATCGAACTCGCTCTAGGAAATGGAATATCATCTGTCAACAACCTGCTTGCAATGCACTTAGCACTGGTGATCTAATTCATGAAAAGTGTATCATAGAATTCAATTTCGACAAATTTATAGATAGCACATCTGCTGGTCTATCAATAACATTTTCATCGATTTTCATTAAAATACCCTTAATATTATTCATGATATGGATAATCAAAACATTTTGAACGACATAAAATGAATAATTACAGAACTCAATGTACTGATTATTATAGAGATTTGTAGTCATAAATGTAGACAGGGAGTCATAAATGGTGACTTTTTTCTAGTTGGACATTACTGAATTTTTGATCTTTACGCATCATTTTGAGTGTAGGTCTGGGTTTAGTTCTTTTCATCTAAGCCACACCCACATCTCACACCCTAATGTTAGGATTAGGAAACCTTCAATCTCTCAGTCTGGCTTATGTTCGATTTACAAATAATATAAGAAAAATTTGTCTTTGAAAACTGACATTTTTCTTGTTTGAATACCATAAAATAAATAGACAAAATTATCAAGTTCCAGTGCTGGTTATTTTGTTTTTTCCTTAGTTATTTAATTCAATTTATCATTGATCAAAAATTATTTTTTAATTTCAAATGTTCTTCACGACGTGCATTATTCTATTTAACAAATAATAACAATGATAGAATATTTCATGATTTATTTCATGAATCTACACATAATGATTTACTTTCGCCGTACTAATAACTACAGGTTATTCGTAGTTCTATCCAAAAATGGAATGACATTATTACTAATCGAGCTTTAATTGTAAATATATGTTAAAGATCTAATATTGAAGAAAAATAAAAATATACAGTTCTTGCTACTTGATTTGTTTTTCAAATTTTGGATTCCTGATGAATCAGTCCGTATGCCACGAATAACATTTACACGTTGTTTAAAAGAAAGAGTTTAATTATCACTTGATATAATGTATTATGCATTAATCTCAACATAACTTGAAATTAGCTTCATAGACATGAAATATTATCGTTGATATCAACTTTATCAAGTTTATTGTCAATGCTTGTTGTTAAAGAATTAGAGAAATGTAGACAAAAACAAAGGATATGCCTATGAGAGTATCGGTGAGTGGATGAAAGTGTAGCTATGATCAAGAATCAACTCGAAGCCACAGTCACATCCTTTTAATTAAATTATACCGAGCCAAAATTGTTTTACTACTTGTGAGTGTGAACATTTTTCTTCTCTAAATCCACATTCATGGAATTAGAACATGAGATAGAAATTTCTTCAATGGAGATATGTTTTATATAATACTATTTCCGATCATAAACAATTCATATTTTTTAGTCTCTTATAATATAAGAATTTTTACATGATTTATTTTTATCAAAGTCATAAACATAGAATTGAATTTACAATGAAAGAAAATATTGATAAACATCTTCTTTAAAAGCTCTTGAACTTTCGACAATTAATCGTTTCACTTTCGAACAATTGCGTGGCAGTGCATCGCCTGTAAAGTATATTGTTACAAGTTCCAATTGATCATAATTGACTTGTGAGTCAGAGAGACAAGGTAGATGTGTCTTTGTTTCGACTAGAAATTGCACAATATAATTTCAATGTACATGCTTTAAATTAAGTGATATAAAATGAGAATATTCAATAATAGAATAAGATGGACTTGCATCAGACCTCCATGGATAATGATATCTTGACTGCATCGTAGTATTTATCAAAGAGAAAAAGTTAAGCACTAGAAAAACGCGACTTATTCGAATAAAGAATTCATGCTTCATTGGAATCATATCTTTGTTGAATATCATCAATAGATTTACGAGAGTCTAAACAATGAATGAACATTTCTGTACTCATATGAAAGTTAAATGTATGAAGTTGAGGCCTATAATAAAGAACTTCATTATGAAGATATGTGCTATCGAAGACAAATGGATTTGTTGAATGAAAACGAGGATACAAAGTTAAATTTTTGAGATGTGTCATAAGCCGAAGAAGCGCCACAATCACAGCGTGATTACCAAACATGATATTATAACTTGTTACTGAGAAACACTTCAACTTCTAGGTAGCTCGTTCTATAAAATATAAAAATATCTTTGGAATACATATTTGTGTAAAAAAACTGATTGTGAAAGCTCTTGTCGTTTACAATTCTTTTTTCAATATGCCCTGTATTCGATCAGATATACAATGTGAAATAATCATGTCGAAAATAAATAGTCGACACTACTAAATTTTCTGCACATTGAAAATAGTAATTCAGATATTTAGACACTCGTTCAAAATAAAAACAATCAAACTGAGAATTTCACAAGATTTGTAGATTTTGAAATCCTAATCTTGATTAGATTTCTAAACTTGCATGAAATATTCTTAATATCGTTAAATAGAATTAGTTCTCATTTCTATAGTACAACTTTTATTATACGAGACATTTAAGTTAAGAGAAAAGTTTCTTCTTGAACTATTTTCATCGATATGGCTTGAATTAGTGTAATTTCTTTTGATAATGATATCTTTCATCGTATATGAATTTTTAAATCGAGGAAATCTATGTGATATCCTTTCGCAATCTTGAAATCATGATCATACCAGAGTTGTTACGTGCTAATAGAAGATGACTACATAATGTTGATAATTTTTTGCTGTTTTTTTGCTTTCATTCTGCACTCAATAAAAATCAAAAGTAAACTATTGAGAAAATACTAGACAATTCTTTCTATTGTTTGTTGTAATGATTAAACCTATCATCCTCTATATTCACTCTTCTAATTAGTAGAGCGAGTGTTCCTAATTGTAGCGGAGGTTTTAAATATTCATGTTTCTTCTTTCATATCTCAGCGAAATATTGAGCGAATGAAGCCAAGTTTAACAACTGAGTAGGCACATGTCTGGTCTACCTATTGATAAAAACAATTTTTAAACGATAAAAGAATCATCCAGTTATGAACGGTAGAATGAAGTCGATTGATAGAGCTCTAATAAAGTATCATCTTCTCAATAAGAGCATCAATGCGGGTGTGCGTTTGGATGATGAAAAGGACAAAGTTTGCACATCCCACGTCCATCCACACCATGTTAAAAATGTTGTCATTTTTATAAATATTTCATACGATTTATTGTAGTAGATTCTTGATGCACTTATTTGTAATGGTGGTGGAATTTATTTAGGTATAAAAGCATGTGAATATTTAAAAATGAAATTATACAATTGGCGTGGCATGTGGACAATACCAACTGTTAGGTAAAACAAAAAAAACGTATTAATTGATTTTTAAAGAAGTAAACTAATGCATGTATTGGGTCAGTTTACACCACATGATTGGCCTGAGTTTGATTGGCGTCCAACAGCATCTTTAAAACGTTGGCTTGCAATGTTATTAATAACATACTTTTTATTTCTTGTCGAATTGGGTACATTCTATTTAAAGTTTATTTTATGGATTCCACCACTACATTTTTTATGCGTAATACGTTTATTCTTTTTTTTACTTGCTGATGGTGTTGCAATGCGTGAAGTGTTTGAATATTTGGATAATCGGGAATGTAAAAAAATTTGGTCGACAATCATGGGTTTTAACAGTTATTATAGTAACAGAAGTATTAAAGTTTGATGGGAAAACTGTTACAAAATCATTACCATTTCATATTGTACTTGTTTAGACAGCAATTGCTTGTGGAATTGTTTTATCGACAATATATCATTTTTAATTTAAAAGATTTATTCTTTGGGGACAGTGAAACAATCTTCAAGTTATTAAGAAGAATAAATGAAAATAAATCAAAGAAAAAGAACAATTCTTCATTTATTTATTCTAAACTGCTCTTTGTTTTCTTTCTAGTCATCTTCGTGATTCTGTTATTTGTGTCTCTGTTTTTTGTTTTTGGGTATCATTTTTGCTGGTGATCAAAGAAAAATGTTTTTTCTGTAGTATGAGAAAACAAAGAAAAAGATAAAATTAAGTTGTTTGTTGTTTTGATCTAATAAAAAGAAGACGAAATATTATTCTCATTTTTGCAAAAAAAAAAGAATGATTAAGTAGAATAATGATTTGATGTTAAACTGAAACACCTATATCTTTCATTGTTCTAGAATTAATTTCGAAAGTTTTTGAACTATGATTAGCTATTTTAAAAATGTTTTTTCCGTTAATTAATTAATTTCTAGCGAAATTGTAACTTAAATTGGAATATTTACATCAAAATATGCCTAAATTTTAGTGTATTCAGCTGAAAAAGAATTCTAACTTGAGGTCAACATTATTTCTGGGTTTTAAAATCCTAAGAAACTCGTCGAAATCCTTAAGACTGTTTTGGTTTTCTTGGAAAACATTTTAGTTAAAAATT